AAATTAATCTAAAAATCCCCAAAACTATTTGGTAAACAAACTAAAGAACCACAGAAACTCTGAAAACCCTTAACGGACACATTGCGCACACATAAATAACCCTTGAAATCGTTTATAAATGTGGTCTAAATCTATGATAACAATTAAAAAATATATATATTTTTCTTTTTAATTGTTTTTGAGTTTATTTTCGAGACAAAAACCAAACAAACTATTTGTACTCTAGATTCAGTTAACAATAACGGTCGGACAAATCGTGCAATATATAGAAAAACCAATTTGGAAATTAACAAAGGAAATCGGAAAAAAATATATATATAACTAGCTGTAAACTATATTACAAAAAAAAAAAAAACAAAAAAAAACAAAAAAATACACGCACACTGGTTACCACTACACATGTTTCAAATTACACACACACAAAACATCACATCACTGCGTATAGCAGTATTAACAAACAAAAAATTCCTAAAAGTATTAGTGCAAAGCAATTTTACAAGATCCTGTAGTTTCTAACAAATAAAAAAAAAACACTCACTCACTCATTCACTTACCCACTCACACACTCAGTCACTCAAGCAAATATCTTCATTCAATAATCTATATAGGTCATTATATTTGATATATATCAGCAAACCAAAAACAAAAATATAAAAAATAGCCACAATTAAATTACAAATCCTAAAGGCATAATGCAAACACACCTATAGATATCTGATTTATTCATTCAAAATAGTTCCTAGACCAACAACAACAGCATTAGAGAAACAACAATGTATTGAATAAATTTATGAAGCACCTAATGTATTAATACAATAAAAAATGCTAAAGAACAGCCAAAATACAACAACATTTTTTTTAGTATTTCTAATTATTTTTCATATTCTTTATTTTAAATTGTAAAATTAACGTTTGATTTGGTACATGCTCATTCATTTTCGGACATAGATTGTTGGAAGCCCATTCCATTTCAAATTTAGTAACTATAAGCTTTTAGTTCCATTTAAAGAGAAATATATTTGAAGACATTTTTAAACCACTTGAATATTCTCACTGGATTTTAAAACAAAAAAATATATATTTGTATTCCAAAATCTGCAATATGGTGCTACATTGAAAAACAATTTTTGTATACTTGAACACCGAGGGCATACCCGAAAAATTAGTTGAGCTTTTTGGTGAAATGAAAAGGCAGGTGTAGAGAATTGGTAGTATTGGACTTCAAAACCGACGGCATACCCGAAAAATTAGTTAAACTTTTGATAAAATGAAAAGGGAGGTGTAAAGAATTGGTAGTATTGGCTTCTGATCTCATTTACTTTTCGTTCCAATACTTTCTGGGCACAGCAGTTGTCTCAGAGAAAATATAACAATACTCTCGCTAGTCTTGCCATTAAAACAGTAGAGAAACTCTCCTGCAACTTTTTCTCAGAGAGAAAAAAAGAAGAAGAGTGTTTATTAAAGATAGAGGAAAATGACCCAAAGAAATAAATAATTCCTAAAATAATAAAAAATAAAAACAAGTACCAAAGACTGTCATGTGGACGCTATACCAAAATTTGAGATTGTTATTGCGAGTTTTAAATACCATATTTGAAACAATCCCGTGGAAAATTTTGCTTTATTCAAAATATCGAATATTAGGGAGATACGTTTATGGAGTAATAAGAAAACGAGGACTAAACCGTTATGAACTAGAAGTTCTGAAATACAGATTTTTTAATAAATCGGTAGTGGGATTCTCTACTTCATTGTTTTCATGTTACCAACAAATATCGGTGATAATTAAATCACAAAATTATAAATGACAAGTCTGAATTAAACTTGACAACACTGTTGTTACCGGAGGACTTAGCGACTACTTCATTTGGTCGCTATCTTGATGAAAATTTTCTTTAATTACAGAAATTATAATCATTTTAATTTAACCGATTTTTGTCGGTAACTCAAAAATTGAGTTAGAGAATCCCACTACTGATAAAAATGTTGTCTAAAAATGTCTAACATGCGGTAAAAATTCTTATAAATATTTGAGGTATCAGTCAGACGTGTTGCCGTCTTTGTCTGCGATGGCGTTATTAGAAAACTTTTTTGTCAAAATAATTGATTGAGGTTCATAGCACTGGCTTCCCATTTTTAAATGCCAAATTGCAAAAAAAAAAAAAAAAATAAATAAATAAATAAATAAACGCAGAATCATTGAGTCCCTCTTTCCTTTTTTATACCCTACACCATACATAGTATGGATGGGTATATTGAGTTCGTCATTCCATTTGATTATTTTATCCACATTTTTTAATGAAGTTGTCTGAAATTCTACACAAGGAGTTCTCTGTGGTTTTGCGACATGATTAGTCGGAATTGCGTCAAATTTCGAATTTGAAGTTCGTAATGTTTACTACAACCTATGGAGGAAAATTGTCCATGCAGGTCGTATATAAAAGCCCCTATATAAAGCTTTATTTTCGGAACGGACGGAATTTTTTTGAAAATTTTCAAGTTTCTTCCGAATGTTGGAGGGTATAAAAAGTTCGGGCCGGCCGAACATAGCTGTTTTTTTACTTGTTTTCTTTTAATTTACCTAAAAGTTCTAATGCTTTTTTAGATATATGATCGTTTTCTAGTCGAACGTAGTATTTCTAAGATGTTTGGCATTGAAAATATGCCATATCGGTCCACATTTAGGTATAACCCCCACTAATGGTATCTTCTGACTTTAGTTATTTCAAAGGATTTGGTACTAAAATAAGCTCCAATTTGATTTTTCAGGTTCTAAGAGAATTGTTTTACTGACCAATGAAAAATAATTTCTGCTATAAATATCTGCAATTAAGCGGAACTTTGATATTTCAGGCTCTCGGTGGGTAGTTTAACTTCTTGCAAAAAATATTCATAATGTGTCCACTTTTCGGCAAAGCACCCATATAATAGTGACTCATGTATTTTGCGTAGCCGGTATCTAACAGTGCATACTGACATTTAGTGAAATTTCATATGTCGCGTACTTCATGGGTAGATTAACCGCTTTCAAATATATTCAATATGGGTATATAATCGAACTTCCAAATTGTATAGATTTTTAATTTTTGTTGCCATATGCCAAGTTTTAATATTCTATCAAACGGAATTATTTCCTCAATTCACTACTTCAATCAGTCTTAGAAGTTTGAAGATGGGCAATAACGTTCCACTCCTATTGGTTGCCTAGAGCAATCGAAATACCCAATGGTGTCCACATTTTGCTCATCATATTATTTCTAGGAAAAGCCAGCTACAGAAATGGATAATATCAGTCAATTATAATTCCTCCACCATAGTATGGAGGGTACTATATTATATACTATAGCAGTATAGCCCCCAAGTATCGATAACTCCCAATATTCGGTATTTTGATGATTTTAGCGACATTATTTACCGCATCTGTTTCAAATTTCGTATTTAAAGTTCCTAGTGGGTACTACAACCTACGACAGAAAATTGCGATTTCACGTCGTCGTATTTACCCCAAATAAAGGTAACTTCCTATATTCGGTGTTTTTAAGATTTTAACAGAATTTTTAACGGATTCTATTTTTATTTATTTTTTCTTTGGAAATTTCCAATTTTTTCACTTGTTTTTTTTTTAACTTTATACATTTCAATATGTCTGCCAATCCAATGTGAGAATGGTACCTCCACCATAAACGTTCAACATTTTAAAACGCATAATTCACAAATAAAGATAAATATATTAAATGGTTCCTCCTTTTGGAACATACACTACAAATTGGAAAAATCTGAAAAAAAATGAATGTCATTTAAATATAATTATTAATTATATTAAATAGGTCGAAACTTCATTAAATTTAAATTGGTTAAAAATTTCAACTCGTTGGGCGAAATCCTTGAAAAAACATGTGTGTGGTTTTTCAGAGCGAATGATTACACACATAACGTAATATTTATGATCCAACGTAGATCGTGCTTCTGATTTACCTTGGAGGTGCTGACCAATTTGATCATCTCGATCCTAGTTCGACCACACATTGTTAAATACAGTACCATTTCATTTGTTTCTTAAAAAAATTAGAGAAAAACGAAACGTGAAATGTACTCACAATCAAATTGTTAGTTATTTAATTTATTTAATTGAAATATTTATAAAAATATAATTACATTTTTTATTCTTTTTTCTTTAGTTTTATTTTTTATTATTTATAATTCGTTGTTACTTAGCTCTAAACAAATTAGAAATAATAAAATTTTTGCTTTCTCAAAATGTGCTGTTCTTTATATAAATAACACTGATAACAATAATAACAAAATTAAACAAATGATTGGAAATAAATTCTCCTAATGACAAATGTGAATTCCTATGAAACGAATCTTGCCTATCATTAAAACATATACATATTCTTGTTTTGTATAACTTATTGTAGAAGTCACCAACACACACACCAACACATCCACCCACACAAACAATTACGTTTACACCACTTCATCAAACCAGCAATAAAAATAAATACACCTGGCCAATTAACTTGGATTGTAAAATAATTATAAATTCTGCTTTATATTATGATTATGATACTAATTTTTTATCTCCTATATAATTTCTTCTTCACTCTCTCTCTTTAATAAATGCTTAAAACACCACCACCACCACCAAGTTATTGTTTTTTTTTTATTTTTTTTTTTTTAATTTGCAATTAACTAAAGGAAAGAAATTTAAAAATTATTTAATTTTTGGTATTTCCTAAATTGAAATGACCGTAACCTTATTGCCGCCCTTAAAAAAATAATAACATAAAAAAGTAAATAAAACGATTTTGTTATATCTTGTTAATTAAGCTACCAAAAATACCAGCAGCCATTTTAGAATCACTAAAAATAGTTTTTCTTTATTTTTCCTTTTGGATTTTTTTTTTTAACAAAAAAAGAAGAATTTTTTCTTGCCTTACTACAAAAATGAACAAAACGATGTTTATGAATTTCTTTCTTTCTTTTCTTCTTAATTTCAGTTACCAGAAGATGAATGGTTAGCAGCAAATTTATTATGTTAGTTTACACAGTCGGTTAAGGAAGAGCAGGAAGAAGAAGAAGTAAAAATTAAATGCAGTTATTTAAGAAAAAAAATGAAACACAAAGATACCAAACCCAAAAAAAATAATAATAATATATTCATAGAAAATAACAAGAAATTAGAGAAAACATTGTTAAACCAAAAAACCCATACACACACTTACCTACATAGACAAAAATAATGGAGATGAAGAAAAAACAAAACAGATAAAGCAGAAATTATATAAAACTAAAATAAAGCAAAGCAAAAAAGAAATAGTTTAGAAAACAACTAGAAATAACTATTATACAATACCAAAATATACACATACACACACATTGAAACAAATGTAGCTAAAAAAAAAAAACAAACAAGAAGAATATATGAATGAAATCTTACCAACAATAAAAATCATAAATAGGGAAATACCAAATTTAAGTTATGTTTTAAAATGAAAAAAAAAAAAAAAAAAACAACAATCATTCACACACATTCATACATAGTATACGTATACGTATACTCCCATATACACAATGACAGCAATAACAAAAGATCCAGTAAAGGATAGAAATATATATAGATGTAATTCCCATAAAATCAACATAAATACAGATGTAATGTAATGTGAGCAAACACACACACGCATACAAACATCTAAAAGAAAAATAGAATAAAAGTCGGTGGTAATAATACTTATACACATACACGTAAAACCCATACAATTATACATAAACATATATATATATATTTATATAAATATTTATATAAGTAATTTAGATATTATAGTATGATTAAAAACAATTTCCATATAGGGTGCTCCAAAAATTAATGAACAAAAATGAAAGGTGTACTAGTGATAGCTGACAGCGAAGGATATCGAAAAAATTATATTACTTGGTTTTCGATTTCGAAATCTGTATAAGGAAAACATGGGTGTTTAACTACTGCAAATGACCAATTGGCAAATTCTGGCAATAGAGGACCTCGAATTGGCGTAACCATCTTTATGTGATAACTACAATGGAAATAAATTCAGATCTGTAAAACGGTAAGAATCGTCTCAATTAATAGTAATAATGGGCGTAGAGAAAATTTGTTCATATTTCAACAGTTCACAATAATTGGATCTAATATTATGGGGCTTTTGAAAATTTCATTGTGAAATGAAGACATCTCTATGTAAATTTAATAACTTTTTACTTCAAAATTTTATAAAAAATATCGGTCCAAGGATTTAAGTAAAATTTTCGGCTCCTGATGTGGGATGGAAAAATTCCACCTGAAAAATATAACAATGCCAAAAATAGATTTTTTTTAGATTCATTGGAATTAAAACGGGACATATTGCTTTTCGAATAGTCCCCATATTTGCATCAATCCCAATTTAAGTATTTTTATACCCTCTACCATTCTATGGAGGGTAACTTTGTCATTCCGTGTGTAACTATTCGAAATGTTTATACTAGACCCTAGAAGGTATATATATTCTGGATTAGCGTGAAATTCGAAGACGATCTAGCGATGTCCGTCTGTCTGTCTCTCCGTGTGTTGTAATCACGCTATCTTTCGAACGAATTGAGATAGAAGGCTAACATTTTGCATACATTCATAGTTTACCAGTAGGCAGGTTAAGTTCGTAAATGAGCCATGTCGGTCCACGTTCTCGTATAACCCCCATATAACGGCACCTCCCGATATTCGGTATTTTGATTATCTAAGCGAAATTATTCACCAGAGTTGTTTCATACAGCCTATGACAAGAAATTTCGTAAGCAGGTCCACATCTTCGTATAGTCTCCATATAACAGTTTTCATTTAAGTGGTAGTTTCCGAAAGCTTTTGAAAAATTTTCAAGTTCCTTCCAAACGGTGGAGGGTATTGCAAGGAATAACCATTATAGTTGAAAACAAAACCTAAAAGAACCATCTGTTTATCAGAAGTTAGAACACCACTTCGTGGAACATGTTCAACGTAGGTCTATGTTTCAATCTAGCGCTCCTGCATAAAATAAGCTACTGATTTTATTAATGTCACGGATTTTGGAGATTTCAAAACTGATAACGGAAGTGTTTTAAAATTTAAGTGTTGGAACAAGATCAATGTGTCCCGAACTTTTGAATTATTTTATATATTTCTATTTTGGGGGCAAAACAACCGATTACGGCCACTTTCTTCAACTTTCTGTGTCCCCGAACTTTTGAATTATTTTATATATTTATATCTTGGGGAAAAACTACCGATTACGGCTACTTTCTTCAACATATTATCTCAGGAAATCTTGTAGATGTGCCGGATTATCGGCCTTTGATAATTATATCGTGAAATCGGAGGGTGAACCGATCATATTAATTCAAATACGCCATCATAATAAAAATAAGGAAGTTTACTCTACACTCAATTGTTTTTTGTAGAAGCGTGAACACTCCTATACGAAAAGTGAGAATCGGAATCACGAAGTTCGAACTAGAGTAAGAGAAACAAATACAAAGAAAACTACCAGTACAGGCGAAAATGCTTGTTTGCTTGTAACAAAAACAAGTAAAAAAGTAATTAACTCGGCCAGACCGAACTTTGATACCCTCTACCATGGAAAATATGGTGTCAAAACGAGGATCTATAAATTAAAAAAATTGAAAATTCCACCAGAATACTGAGTATAGATTGGTGCTATGGAAATAAAACGAGGAACCTCATTTTATAACCATAGTACGAGACGCAAGAGATTTTTACACATTTAAATGCTGGAGTCCTCTAACGGTAGCTATTTGTGGGCTTCCAGCCAAATATAAAGAAAGCACGCTTGAATTCCATCACGAATAACTTTTTTTCTGGAAAAATCTCACCAAAATGCTTTTGTACGCTTCTAAACAATATAATGAGCTGTCACTGGAATAATTTTAACAACTATCAGACGAGTGGTTAGAAATGACAGCAGTCTGAAGTTGGTTGCAGTTGTATATCAACAACTGTTTGAAAGGCATTACAAACTTAATTTAAAAAAAATCAGAAACAATTGGAAAGCATTCAGTATGCTGGACATAGGGAGAATACTGGTATATGGGGGATATACCACAATGTGGACCTATCCTAACTGTTTGTTGCAAGGCGGATAAGAACCCGTTACCGCTTTGAAAATTCCGTTCCGTTGAAAATGTGCCGAAAGTCGTCAAACGCTTAAAATGAGGTGTACCGTTATATGAGGCTATTCCACAATAAGAACCTAGCAAGGTCCAAATATTTTCTTTTTAAAATTGTTCATTTCACATTTGCCTATATCAAGAATTGAGTCCCAGGTCTCACAAGCCTAAATATGAACTGATGGTGTAAAAATTAAATGTGTTAAAATGCAATAGATATTATCAACCACCTTAGTGAGAAATGAAGATGAGAAATTGTTTGCAATGACAGATGACTGAATGAAATCAATTTAACCAACTGAAACGAAAAACTTTCTTAAATCCTAATGTCAGCTACCACTGCTCATTTTTTCCTACGGCTTTCATATGTTTTTGTACATTCACTTTTGTTGCACCCCATATAAAAATAGTATATACATATGTAAACAGTTTCAAATGAAACAAACGAATAATAATTACCAAACAAACACAACCAGCTATGAAAAATTAATTAAAAAACAATCAACATTCCATCGAATGATATTAATAATTAATATTATGATTATTATAACCTAACGGCGATTATGATGATAATGACGATGAAAGCCCATACAATTCTGGTAGTTGGCAATGCATTTTAAAGGATATTAGGAAAAAAAGGAACACACAAGCACAACAAGAGCAGCAACGGTAAAAATAGTCATTAAGCAAAAATCAAAAGAACATTGACAACAAAATAAGCTAGAAAATGAACAACAACAACAGAAGCAGCAGCAGAAGCAAACCGGCAACAGCAACACAAATGTCCGCATAATTATTTAAGTTAAGCATAAATACATTCATACCTATATGTTTTATAGAACACTACATATACAACAAACATAGGCATACCACATACTCTCATACATACATATATATAAATATGAATGAAGAAATGGCAAAATAAGAGAAAAATCGAATAGCAAAGTAAAACATAGGCAATTGATGATTAGATGATTTGTACGTTTAGTTAAGTTGGATAAGATACAGAAAAAAAAACAAAACAAAGAAAATAGTAAATAATTAATGATAGTGGTAATGATACTACAATAGAATAATCTACAAATAAATAAAACGGAAATTTATATTATAGCAAAATACAAAAATACATATATTTCTAGGCATATGCATACATATAAATATACATAGAATATAATATATAATATTGATATGACTAAATTAAAATGTAATAAGTATAAAAAGAAAATAAAATAAAAGAGAAAACCAACACACACAAATACCCTTAAAATATAGATATTATGTACACAGATACCACAATACATAGCCTATATGTAAAAAAAAAATAAAAACAAGAAATGCAAAAACAAAAAAAACATTACAACATAGATGAAAATCAAAACAGTATAAAAGTAAAAAATATACCCAAAATATATATACAAAAATGGTTTAAAATATACCTACAAAATACATAGGCACCTATTATTATAAATGTTTGTACAGAAATATATCTTAAAAATGAAAGCAAAGAAAACAAAAACCAAATAAATAAACTAGAAATAAAAAAAACAATCACATGAAAAAAAAATCCCCAACTATCCATGTTTATTGCCAGAACCATGGCTGCTGTAATATTAAAAGGGAGTTGGTATGTTTTAGTTAATGCTGGGTTAATACGATATCTCTGGGGGGAGTTGTTTTAGTTTTTCGATTTTAAAAACTTCTATTCCATAGATGGGAGTTGTTTTCGATGATGTTCAAACCTTCGTAATGAAAACCATTAAACCATTGAAATAGTTCGGTATGAAGTACTACTTTCTCTGCTTCTGCAAATGGAGTCATGAAATTAACATTCTGTTCATATTTTCAACAACATCCGAATTGCATGGAAATCACCGCTTTTATATATCCTCAGTCATATACGGTCAAACGTGCCTAGTCGAAATAACGATTTTAGACAATAGGTCTCTTTGGGCCAAATCCGTTTCAGGACAGTTGGTGTCGATCTAGTCCGTCCGTCTGTCTGGCTGGTTGGCTGGTGCACACCATAACTCTCGAAGGGAGTATCCGATTTGATCCAAACTTGGTACATCGTAATAATTTTGTCAAACCTAGATCGAGTTCAGAGATGGGCAATATCGGTCCACTCCATCTGGTACCTCCCCCACAAAAGATCGAAATTCTCAAAAAAATATATTTTCTGCACAGAAAGGGATATGATAATCCTATTTTGCTCCATCTTTCCAAATCCTAATATTTGACTCAGTTCTCGGTCAGGTGTGAAATTTGACAATATCAGTTCACTCCATCAAGTACCTCCCCTAACAAAGGGTCACAAATTTTAATAATTACAACTCTTATAAAATGTGATGTAAGAGTCCGATTGTCTTCAAATTTCACACATCCCAATATTTTTATTAACCCAAGTTCTGGTGTTAAGATGGAATAACCACTCGTCCACTCGTTCTGGTACCTCCCCAACAAAAGGTCGATATTTTCAAGAAAAAAATATTTTCTATACAGAAAGAGAAGCAATAGTCCAATTTTGCTCCAAAATTTCATATCCTAATATTCGACTCAGTTCTCGGTCAGGTGCAAAAATGTATAATATCGGTCCACTCCATCAAGTGCTTTCCCCACAAAGGGTCAAAACTTGGAATAATTATAAATCTTGTAAAATGTGATGTGGGAATCCGATTGTCTAAAAAATTTCACACATCCCAATATTTTTTTATGAACTCAAGATCAGATATTAAGATGGAATATATCTGTTGATTTGTCGTGAAGGTGATATAAAGGGTTACAATTTCCAATACTTATATTGGTCATAACTTGCGAAACAAGTCGTAGATTCTTTACAACTTGCTATATCTAAATATTTTTCTTTACCAGAAGCCCGATATGGATATGGCATAAAATTTGATATTTTTTGATCCGATTTCGATTTCTTAAAAATTTTACGCATACCAATATTTTTAGCTGTATTAGATGAAGTATGAAAATGGAATACTTCGGCCCGCTATATCTGTTACCTCTCGCACATTTCTAAAGGAAGACATTCACTTTCCCGAAGTAAAAAAAAGAATGTGGACGTGCAAAATAGAGAACATCTAAGTGAACAAATCTCTTGTTCGGCAACCCACTATTTGACGAACAATTAAATAGAGCAACAATAAAATTTGGTTATTGGTGTTCATTTTCAAAATACCATGTATAAATCCAATTTCGAGTTTTCAGTAAATTGTCGTTTGCCAAAAACTATGCATTTAAAAGTATTTTCTCAACCTTAACTGGTTGCAGAGACAAATAGAATTTTCCTAGCCAAAGCAAGACATTGCCTCCTCTCAAAACCAGAGATAAGGCGGTGGCATATATCATAATTTTACCGCTTGATCTTACATTACTCTGTTTTCCAATTCAATATTCGTTATGTTAAGAATTATTCATTTTCTAAGTCGACGTTTTTCAATAATACGTCCTTAAAAATACATTATAAATTGATGCTAGGGAAAATCTGTCCAATCGGGGAAATCGGACTGAATCGTTTTCCTATGATGAGGGATTTTAAGCTTTTGAAAGTTTGTGGTCACATTTTCCAGCGATTTGATATTCATACCTGAATTATTCATATTTTTATATATTTCAGAGAAATTCTAAACAAGTTCCAGCCCCGATATAACGGTACACTTTATTAATATATATTATTGTAAGATAATTGACAGGAATTTTTTTCTTTTGCAACATTCCTTTGCAATTTGGCGAGGAAATACTAAAATCTTGTTCTTTTTTAATCTCAACAATGCAGTAGAATATAATATATTAACAAAATTTGGGTTCGATTTCAAAAAAAAGTCATAAACTCCCTCCGTGATTCGATTTTATCAAATATTGAGAAAGCCATTTTATACTTTAAATGTAAGAATTGGAGAAGGTGGTTCAGCCTGAATGTTCATTGGTAGTACCCCTGCTGTTTCATAATACTCATTCTAAATTGGAAAAAGAGAAGAGATTGAGGCAAAATAAGGGAATTAAATGGTAGGCTTCGTGGCTACTTTAAGAATTACTGCAGTCTCTGTGAGATTTAAGGGAGATCATGTATTATTTGCTCTCCCACGAGCCACAAGTCATTGATGAGAGTTGGACGGTGGTAGGGCAAGTGTTCGACTGTCTCAATTCTCTCCAGCAATCAATAACGCCGCAACTTCATTGGCTCTGTCGCTGCATTGAACGGTGATGATACCTACCACAAGTTTAAAGTCAGGTTTCACCATGGGACGATTAAAAAATTATTTCTATTTGATGTGTTCAAGTGTTTGGCATTGAAATCTGGTGCAAAATCTAAAACTAAACGTAAAGGGTGAGACATTGTAAATAGATCGAATTTCTTTCATACACTTAGATGCCAAATACAGCCATGAGATACACCTGTGAATTTATGGTAAACTTTGAAGCCGCTGTGTAATATTTTAGGTCCACCGAACAAATGATTGGTTAAAAAAGAATGGGACAAAAGTTGTATAAAATTATGATGGAGAAACACAAAAAAAAAAAAAAAATTGGTCATTTGATAATCGATTTCGCATGATAAATCGGTTAAAAAAGATTGGGACAAAATATGGAGAATAATATGACGGAAATTTTTCAAAAAAAAAAAAAAAAAAATCATCGAATCCGCGTGATCTAATATTTGTACTGAAAATGTTCTTATAAGAAACGAAAAAGGAATATATTGACATTTTCAGAAAGGTCTTAGAGTTATTCTTGCATGTGCTAAGGTATACACAGTATGTATTCCCGTAAAAATAATTATAGATTTTATCTTTTCTACTGCAAGATGTTGGTATAAAGAACACCAGAGATCCTCTCAATAACGGAATCTCTCAATATTTTTTTTGTTTTCAAAAGATTTATGTATTTATAATTACTACTTAAGACGATGCGTTGTTTTTAGGCCCGACGAATTTTATTCATTCAAGTGATATAATCTAAATATTTGTTCTTCATATTTCCTTTAAGGAAATATGAAGAACAAATAAATAAATAAAATTTTTCACAAAATTTAAAACTTTATTTAGATTATGGAATAACATTACCCAATAAAACAGACTTGACAATGTTAATTCGTGGCGTATAAGTTATGTGAACATTTATTTGCATGTTAACCATACGCCCCATGTAGCCCTTATAAATTCTTATTAACCAGCATTAAACAAAACATTCTTGTCACAAAATCTTAAGAGAAACAAACATGCCCAACAAATAAACAACAACAACAAAAACTAGAAAATCAATTTCCAGCATTAAAATCTTGTGTTTGTTGGTTGTCATATTTTTATAAAATTTTTATTTTCATTTCTTTAGTTCACTGCCACTATAGAAACTTTTTTATTTTTATAAGAATTTTTATAAAAAAAAAGATATGAAAACAACAAAAATACAAAAAATGTAAAACTCGATGAACATACATCTTTTATATGCATACAAAAAAAAAAAAAAAAAAACAAACAAAATAAGTCTATTAAAAATACGGATTAATTTGCTTCCTTAAAATTTCATATGGTATATTGTTTTGTTAAAGATTTAGGCCAAATGAAAACTAAAGAAATCGCAAAAAAAGAAACTATATAATTCTGTTGGAAAAACCTATAATTTTAAATTACGAATGGAAGAACATAAAGAAAGAGTGCTACATAAATGTGTTAAAATTAAAAAAAAAAATAAAAAAAGGATAAAATTAGTTTTAGTGGAGAAAAAAAAAATAGTCACACAATATAAATAAAACTACAACTTGAAAATATATTATTTGAACAAATACATATACAAATAATTTGTGGAATACCAGAAAAAATAACAAATAAATAAATCAGCATTAAAATGAAATGAATTATATATTATTGTAAAAAAAAAATACCGTAAGGCATAAAGTGTTATCACAAATTACAGCTGATGCAGATGAAAAAAAAAACACAAACAACAACTACACTTAACTACTTGTGTGTGTATGTTACCAAAAAAACTTAAACTCCCTCCTATCGCGAGGACTACAAAATAAACGTATAAAAATATACCAAATATTTAGCCTAAACTAGTTTTAGTACCACAAAAATAAAAACCTAAAAAACAAAACTAAAATATAAATAGAAAAAAAAAAATACCAAATAATAAATGTGTTTTAAAACAAAAAAAAAACCATATTAGATGTATGTGAAACTTACATTTGTGTAATTTGTTAATTTATAACAAAAAACCTACTAATATTTTTGTTAAAGACCGAATGGAAAAACTTTATACTTTTTGTTACAAGGGAAATTCTAAAAAAAAAACAAAAACAAAACAAAAAATATACTAACAAATATTGGAAAACAAAACACAAACAACTATTATAGGCTATATTTGTAAAGAAAGCATGTTAAACATTAACAAAAAAAGAACACAAGCGGAGCTAAGTTGAAACAAAACACTCTAATGTAAGCTGAAATAAATTAGTGGTCAATGGCAGATTTTATTGATTTTCCAAAAATTAGTTATATAGCAATATTTAAAGCATTTTTTCAAATTCTATAGAACATTCCAAGACTTGGAATTGGACACTCTTCGTGGAAGTGTCATTATCTTACTATTGGCAAAAGAAAAACAAGTAAATGAGTAGTAAGTTCGAGTAACCTCCACCATTTGGAACGAATCCACAAAAAAATAAAAAAATAAATAAATAAATAAATAAAGTCCATCAAAATTCTGTTAAAATCTTAAAAATACCGAATATTGGAAGGTGTCGATTGTGGCTAAATCATCAAAATACCGAATATCGGAATGTGCCGTTATATGGGGGCTATACGATATCGTCGACCAATATGTGGTCTACGAGAACAACGCAATGGAGGACCTACTCATGACTCCAATGGACATGAAGGTTCTTATAATCCTATGCTTTCCCTACTGTTCCTGATTGGGTGTTACCTTGTGGGTGATCCTAACCATTAAAAGTTGGAAAGAATTCCCCTAACCAGGCGTGTCAGGAATGTCCTGAGTGGTATATGGGGTTTTACACTATTCTCGCCTTGACGGTTCCAACCATGGTGCACAATTGCACCGGGTTCGCGATACAATGCTTCGGCCAATGCCTCTTTGGTTTTACCCGGAAATGGGACTGCGGAGATGAGAACACAGCTGAATGTGCAGGTCGAGGGACACATTCGAGAGCTTGGTTAAATTGTTGGCGTAAGCCACAGCTCTCTGCCATATATTGCAATGTAGGAACAAAGTCCTCAAGGCATCAGTCGGTAGCGCTTGGGCGCGGATATGTAATCTTTGTTGACATCTTATGAATTGATTGGTCGGCTTGTGGTTAGCTTTGCGGCTACATGGAGATGTATTCAGATCTACTCATGACTACAGTCGACATGAGGAGATGAAGGTTCTTATAATCATATGCTTTCCTTGCAGTACCTGCTTGGGTGTTACCATTATAAGTTGGAATGAATTCCCCCAACCAGGTGTGTCAGGAATGATCTGCGTGATATAGAAGTCAAGGGGGTTTTACACTATTCTCGCCTTGAGGGTTCCAACCATGGTGCATAATTGCGCCGGTGTCGCGATACAATGACCTCTTATAAATTGTTAGATCGGCCAGCTTTGCGGCTCGATTGTGGTCTGCGAATACGAGTATAGCGCAATGAAGCTGTAGGATGTGAGGAAATTAAGGTTCTTATAATGATATGCTTTCCTTACAGTACCTGTTTGGGTATTACGCCCATCCAGGTGTGCCAGGAATGACCTGTGTGGCATAGAAGTCAAGGGGGTTTTATACTATTCTTGCCTTGAGGGTTCCAACCATGGTGCATAATTGCATCTGGGTCGAGATACAATGCGTCGGCCAGTGCCACTTTGAATTTACCCGGAGATTTCTTAGAAAGTCGTAGCCCTCCATAGAGTTCTATGAAGAGTCTCCGGCCAGACTTCGTAGTCGAAACTACCACCAGTTCGTGTTCCATACAACACGGGACTGGTCACCTAAAATGAGGCACGGTCAGAAAAAAGGATGAGTGCAACAAAAAGTACCACACTGATGGAGTGATTGCATAGACTTACTGCATGATCAATAGAGAGAGAGAGAGAGAGAGAGGTCCAACGATACAAGAACCCTTTATAACTGGAAGACTATCAGACATGTCTAAAGTATACTGATGCAGTCGCCGCCGATGTAGTTAACCATTACAAGTGCCATACTCGGAGTATTTGTCTGCCATACTCGGTTAAATTTGTCTGCCAATTTATCAAAAATGTTCCGCAATTGTATTCGTTATTTTTTAACATATTTCATATTTTCCGAATAAAAATGAAAAAAAAAAGATAATAATTTATGTTCCAGCCACAAAAAGTTAAACCTTTAAAACCACTTTACAAAAATAATTTTACCGGAAAATTATTAAGTTATGTGCTGGCCACTAATGGTATATATATTAAATAATTATATACACATACACACATAAATATTATGAAAAAAAAAACTTGTTGACCAAAAACCAAACAAACTAAACAACTAAAATAAATATGTATTTGAAACGGAAAACAAAAACAAAAAATAACGAAACCTTAATTTGTCAAATGCAAAAGAAAAAGGTTATAAATAAAAAATAACGCATAAGAAACTAAGTATTTAGTTATAAATAAATGCGTAAGCAGAAAACATTAAAATAAGATACTAAGAAGAAATTAAAAAAAAGTATGAATGAAAAAAACTAGTTGATTTGTTTGTTGATGTTTGAGCTACATATCAGTAAAGTATGACAAAAAAAAATAAAATAAAAACTAATAATAATTTAACAGTTAAAACAAAACTGCAAAAAATATTTAGCATATAATGAAAATGAAAAAAAAAAAAAACACACATTAATTTAAGTAAACTAATTTAAAGAAAAGATAAAGTATATTTTAAGATGTCATATTTATATATGGTGTATTGAAAAGCAAAATTATCAGATATATACTTAGACTACTAAAATGAGAAGTAAAAGAAAAGTTAAAATAGCAGAAAACGAATTACTATTATAAGAAATAAAAAACAACAAAAACAAAAAAATGATACTATAAAATGGTGAATACACATTGGACATTCTGTTGAAAACAAACAAAAAAAAAAAAAACAAGCAAATTATGATTTATAAATTATTTTATATGTGGCATCTACAGATATGTTAATAAACAAATATTAATAAAGAAATCAGAACAACAGCAACTGCAACAACAACAAAGAAATCGTCTGAATTCACATGAAGATGATTACTCACATGGTACAATGAATTCAAGGTAGGGCAGAACAACCATATGATTTCAATTTTTTCATTTTTCTGGCTTAATATGTCAACTTCATTTGTTTATGTGTGTGTATTTTTTCAATAATAAAAAATTGTTCAGGAAATATTCAAATTTGGGTGTTTTCAAAATGCTTATTGCAACGTATACCTCGACAAAATCTACAGTTTTTGTTGCGAAATAAACCATAAGAGATATATAGAACATAATTTTGAAAAGAAATTTTGACCTTTCATTCATTTTTCGCGGTTTGAAATTATTTATTCAAATAAATGCAACAAGTTGTTTGATTTTTTATTGTTTTGATACTAATTCTGACATTACAAGCCAAACAGGTAGACCTCTATACTTGCAATTTTTTCAAAGTTGACCTACCTTCTCTTCATTGTACCATGATTACTCATATACAAAAACAAAAAACAAACCAACCAACAAAAATATACACTTAAACAAAAAAAGCGACACTTACTCACACATAAACATCAATAAGCCCCCAAGGAACACAAAATAACAAGAACAAAAAGAAAAACAACAACAACCAAAACAATTGTATGCTGTAGTACTATTACAATTATTTAGCAAAATATATATACATAACTATATACTATATATATATTATACATATTATATATATTTTATCATATACAACAACCAAAAAAATAAATAAAAAATAAAAACAAATATAAAAAAATACAAAAATAAAGTATAAATATTTGAATAAAAACCAAAAGAAAAATTGGATGGATTTTTTATATACAATTTAATCAAAAGATGAGGAAAACCAAATAATGTTTAACGAAAAAAAGGAACGTTCTAAATTTTTTAAATATATTTTCATGATTTTATTAATGAAAAAAAAAAAAAAAATGAATTGGTAGCCTATTTGCAGCTATATGGAGTAATGCTGCCTATTTATTGGAATTGGTTGCGGTTTAGTTTTTTTTTATTATATATGAGTGTAATATGATTTTAGAACAATTTAAAGCAAAGGAAATATTTCAATAAAATTCATTGGAAAAGATGAGGAGCATATAGGATCGAGTGTATGTACAGGGTGAGATAAAAAACTGCATCAAAATCAAGCGTCATATTTTTTTTCAATTACTTTCGGCCAAGCAAAGCAGCTCTTTAGCTCTTTTAGGTCTATTTTCTTCCAGTTGAGGTGTAAGTTCGTGCACTTTTGGAATTTCAATGGTCTTACCCCGAACTCATTTTTCACTTAAATTCTATTACAAATAACTTTTTTTTTCTGGAAAATTCTCACCAAAATGCTTTTGCACTGGAATTATTTTAACAGCTGTCGTACGAGTGGCTTAGAAACGACAGCAGTCTGAATTTGGTTGTAGTTTTTTCATCTCACCCTGTATGACCTTTGATTGTCGCAGCACAGATGTCAGTAGAAAAATTATATTTGGTTTTTATTTGTATGGCTTTCCCATTTAAAGCTAGATCAAGGAAAATTTTCAAACCAACATAGACCAATGATATAAGAAATCAGGGAATTTCATTATTGAATTAAAATAATTCATGGCATATTCCTCAAATTTCCAATGGAATTTCCAAAAATATTCGAATAGCAAATGGAGGTTTGGTATTTGAACATAATACAGTTTGCATTGTACAAATAACATAGGATTGTTGCGAATGGTCTTAAAATGTATTATTTGAGGGATATTGAGGAAAATACGTTTAAACGTTTACATCTCGAAATTTTAAGACTTGACTGATATGCCACTTGACTGATATGCCATACCTTTTCAAATGGCTAAACTATTACAAGAGAGAAATGTTGCATTTGCTCTGAGAGAACTGGTTTGCCCTGAAATTACAGGAACGGAAATCTAGCAAAAATATCAAAATTCCCCCAAAATCAACAT